CCCCCCCCCCCCCCCCCTTTAATGGCAGCAGGCAGTAATTAAGTTTTAATCTGATCCAGGCTTCTTGAATAGTTTCTGAATATATATATTTTTTAATGCAACAAACCCGGTTGTTCTTCAGAATCGTCCTCAGACAAAGTCAGAGAGGAGCTTTTGGGTGAACGTGCAACCTGACCAGACTTGTGGCGTTCATCCTTCCTGTTTGCCGTGGGCGTGGCGCCATGATTCAGTGGAACGCGTTCCTTCCTGTGTGAGCGAGTAGAGCAATGGACAATCTGACGGGAAGTGAGACGTATTCCTATAAACCCTCTCGTTGTGTTCTTATCAACCGCTGCGAAAGGCGGGGCGATAATGTTTTGTCTGTACAACTATAAATGTCTCGAAAAGTACAGAAAACTTTTGGGTGGTAGTCATTAGATATACATGTAGAGCAGATAAACCTTCAGTCATTCCAAATCAAGATGGCTTCCACAACCGATCTAATTAACACAAAAATAATAACAACTTGGTCATTTTCACAAATAATAAACAAACCACACTCCCAAGTGCTAACAAATTATAAATTAATAGATTTATTTTGTCATTTCCCAACAAGTTGAGGTTAGTCTAAAACGCTGGCTTTAATTGTCCCTCGTCGCAGACGAAAAGGGGATTTGGAAATATCCTCCGTCCACACGTGCATGTCGTGACTGTAGGCCGGTCGCAATAAACAATAAATCAATTAATCGCATGATGAATGAAAATTATCAACCTCGTGTTCATTTATCGGCGTTATCGTTTGTGTCTCTCTCTCTCTACTGAAGACACTGGATGACAAAAGGCTCAACTCCGGTGCTCTTCACTGATCCCTCCCTTCCTCTTTTCTCTTTAAAATCTGTTTTAACCGTCCAAAATCACGTTTTTGAATCGTTAAAAGCGGCTAAGCTGAGAAGCTAAGCTATGAGCTAAGCTAGAAAGCTTACCTTGGGGAAAAAACCTCCGTCAGAGTTCCAAAATTCACGGTTGAAAGTCGTGCCTTCGTCTAAAAAGCTGTTTTTCTCTGTAAAAGAAGCTGAGAACTAGGGATGTGCGATATGGCATAAAATTCGTATCACGATATGTATTGTGAAGGGTGCCGATAACAATATATATCACGATATAATTTGGTATAAAACTTGCAATAGGAATGAAAAAAGCATAGGGTGTCATTTTGTCATCATTTATTTTGAAAACTGCTATATCACAAAATAATCTCAATTAAGACAATTCCACTACTAGGTCCAGAAAGTTTTTAAATAATAAACAAATCAACTTCTTTCTTGTAGTGCAAAACAGTGCAAAAGAGCATGCATCAGGAGATGTCAAATGTAGTTTTAGCCATGTTTTAAACTAAAAATATATTGTTAGTTCTTAGCAGTTTCCAGTATTCTCACTTAAGAAATGAACAGCAACAGAGCAGCATTTTACACTGAAATACTTCACCCTCCAACCCTCTAGTGGGCGTCTCCTTCCGCTTTAAGGAGAACTGACACAAAATGGCGACCAGTTTCCTCTGTGGCTTTGACCAGAGGGTCTCGCAGTAAAATCACACAACACAGCGTTCTTTTACAGATCAGAGAGCAGGTTCAACCCTTTTTTGTTGTTATTGCTCAAATGCACGCTCTAAAGCTGACCAACAAAACTTGGATGAATTAAAAAAAAAAAACTTTTGACGAAACGCATCGTTTTGCGCATTCGTCCGAATACGAGTATGGCACGCGGCCGTAGTTAGCTTGTAGCTTCGCTACGTAGCTTTCGAAGAAAGGACTTTAACACCACTTACGCACAGTTTTCAACTAAAAAAAAGTAACGATTAAATCTGACAACTCTTATTTTACATCGAAACAGCATTACTGCGGTTAGCTGGTAGAAGACAGATCTCTATCGTAGACTAAATGTCTATCGTTTCTACCATGTATCGTATATATTGCGCATTCCTACTGAGAACTTGTTTACTGATTTCTGCCAATTTGAGAACCGAAGAAAGGAAGGAGAGACAGCCCATGTCACGTCAAAGGGCCTGCCTCCCATTTTTCTTAGAGATACGCTGCTTGCTCCCTCACTATCCATCCTTCGGTTCAAACAGCCCTATACTGCCATCCAGTGGTCAAAAAAGTACTACACACACAAATTAACCACCATTTCTTCTTCAATTTGACAATAATTACTAATTATTGTCAAATTTCAAACAATATTATCATTTATCGTAATTGCCCAGCAAAGTTTGTTATCGTGACAGGCCTACGTGAATGTGACAAATTGAAAAAATAAGTGAGGTACCGACTTCTGTGTTGGTGTGTGGGTTCATCCAAGTGTAAGAACGGTTCCTTTTCAAAATCGGATTGCCGTGTCAAAATCCAAGATGGCCACTGTCATATAAATGTAAACCTCGTGAGCTGGATAACTTGAAAAATAAACAATGGGTCAACTTCCTTTATGGCGTGTGGCTGCATTAAGGCAAAAGTCGGGTTCCTTTTGAAAATAGGGTTTCCACTTCAAAATCAAAGATGGCCGCTGCCATATACGTATACTGGGTACTGTATATGTAAACTGGCCATCCCTATCATTTGATGACACTATGCTTTTTAGTTTTTTTTAAATTTATGAATTGGGGTGGCCCTTGGGGTGGCTGATGAGTAATCTATACTGACTGAGGCCACCATTCTCCACCCCCTGGCTCTGCCGTTGCACCTGGTGGTGGATACAGCCACCTCGGACAAGCAAAATCCAATAACATAAAAACCTTTGTTCTTCTACACTCTGACTCCTGCGCAGTTGAACATATTGCACCAAAAACATTAAGGTTGCATTCACTGTTCGTTTCCAGCTCAGAAAAACTCATCTCAAAAACTATGAACATTCACTATTCAGCGACGGGGAACATCGGCGCATCGCTTGTACTGCTTGTTAATGCTAGGTCTTTACTGTCTTGTGGTTTTGTGAGTTCGTATCCAGCTTCCTTGTTTATCTTGAAAAGTAAATGATGTGTCCTTTGTGAGGAGGCGTTTGTCCCGGGAGGTCCAAACGAGCAGAGCTGTGGTCTGAAAGGGAACGTCCTGTTTGCTGAAGCATGACACACTGCAGCTTGTTGTTCCCTTCACTCCTGCTGTGTGTGCAGTAATTCAGCCAACACCAGACCAAAAGGAAAAGAAGCACCAGTTCAATCAAAGCTCCGCTCGTTTCAACATAAAACTCGTTAATTTGTCCGCTGTCTGGGCCCGTCTCGCAGCACCGCGGCGCAGTAAACGTGCGGTGCTGAGGTCGCTCCGTCATGTCTGGTGGAGTTATCCACGGCAGCACATGAGCTGGATCTGCTTTATGTGGCCTGACTCGGCAGCACAAAAGGCTGCTTATTGGAAGAAGCGTGCAGAGCCGCCTCACGTCTGTCGGGCAGAATATTTCACGGCTTTTATTGGATTTACAGCGACTGAGTGCATCAGCCCTCATCTCTCCTTCTTTAATCCTCTCCTCTGTGCTTCTGCAGGCGCTAGCTGCCAACGCCGGCACCGGCTTCGCTGTGGCCGAGCCACAGGTGGCCATGTTCTGTGGGAAGCTCAACATGCACGTCAACATTCAGACCGGCCGCTGGGAGCCCGACCCGTCCGGAACCCAAAGCTGTGTAGGAACCAAAGAGGGCGTGCTGCAGTACTGCCAGGAGGTGAGTCACCGCCACACGAACGCCTCACCATCCTGTTGATGTCACGGAGGTGTTGAAATGTAGCAGCTCCGTGAAGGAAGTGACAGCGTGGGTCGGCGTCATTAATACAGTCATGTGACTTCACACTGGGTGTTAGAATTTAAATTTAATATATTGATTTATATTAGAAACATCACGTTTAAGTCAACCAGTAGGTCTGTTTAAACAGGCTGGTCATATTTCCTTCTTTTCTAGAGTTAGTGTTCACATCAAACAGCTGATGTTGTTGTAATCGTAGACATTAATAATATGAAGCTTTATTATCTTCAGTCGGCGACTGTCTTCATGCACGGCCCCGAATGAGACGAGTCAAAGTGAATTAGATGAGATATGAGATGAAACCGCACACAAGATGTAGGTGATGTAAAAGATGAAAGTAGATGAGATATGATTTAGTAGAAAATATGGTGCAATATGGGAAAATATAATATAAATTATGATACAAAAGGGGAGTGGTGGCACGGAGGTTAGAGAAGGTGGACCTGTGATCGGTAGGTCGCCGATTGAACTCCTCGTACCGACATCAAAATGTGGGTGGGAAAGGTGAAGCACCCACACCTGCCTCCACTCTCATTTGCCCCCACTCTGAGCCCATGAGCAAGGCTCTCAACCCCCACCATCTGCTCCCCTGGGCGCCCTAGATGTCAGCTCCACACAGAGGGCTGTGGTAGCTCGGTGGTCTGTGGCTGCATCAGGAAGGACATCTGGCGTCAAAACAATCGGCAAGTCTTCGTGCGAGTTAGTTCGCTGTGTCAACCCCTGAAGAAGGGAGCAGCTGAAAAAAGAAGATAAATTATGATACAGTACCTAATACATGGCCTTGCATACTACCGTATTTTTTGGCCTGTAAGTCGCGTTTTTTTGCATAATTTAAAGCCCTGCGACTTATAGGCCGAAGCGACGTATTTATGGCTTTTTTCCATATTTATAAACCAATTGTTGGCTGAGATATGATCATTCGTTCCGACTGAAAAAAAATGTAGCAGTACCATTTTCAGCCACTAGATGGCAGCAGAGTAGCAGTATGGCATGCCATTGTATCATGTAATAGGTAAACATGGCTCTAATGACAAATTCAAAAAAGTTCGAGACAAAAACAATTGTACTTTATTTATTATACTTTATTGTTTTTGTCTTGAACTTTTTTTGAATTTACCATGTCCTGGATGACTGAGAATCTTCACCAGATATTAATGACACAATCGGTTTGCCATAGTCCCCCCACCTTCGTTCTGCTCGCTGCTTGGAGCAAGTCAAACCAGCTGCACCGCTCCGGCGAAATGCAGCTAATTTGACCGTTAAAGTGCATTTATTACGTAAAAGTTCAACTGAGACGCATCTTTGCTATAATATTGAGCAAACAAATAAATATTTTTAGGTGCTTTTCTTGTTAAACTTCGAAGAAACGAGCAGCGTTCCTCCTTCCTTTTTTTCCTCCCTCTGTGCTCCCGGAACACCGAGGCGGCGAATACTTTTGAAATTCAGCTGAGTTGACCGTTAAAGTCCTTTTCTATTAAGCAATCGTTAGACTGAGACACACTTTTGCTATAATTTCGAGCAAACAAATAATTGTTAAGTGTTAATCTTGTTAAATTCTTGTTAAAGTCCTCCCGTGCACGCTCCAGCGGCCGCCATTTGGCAACCCATCGATTTTTGGCGCAACACTGGTCCACATTTCCGGGTTGTCAGCGGTGACGTATAATAGATGTGACGTATACGGCGAAGCGACACATTTATGGATTTTTCCACTTTTTTAGACAAATTTTGACGATGCGACTTACAGGGCGGTGCGACGGGTACAGCAGAAAACATGGTGTTGATGTTACGGCACAAATGATCTAATTATAAAATTAAAATCATATTGTTGTGAAATGTTTTTGTTGTTGTTGCCATCTGCTATCATCCCCCTGTTTCAGTTTGTTGTTCGACCTGTAGACTTGTCATTTTTTCCTCATTCGTGTGGAAACCCCAGAGAGCAACGCTCGGAGCAGGAAAATCTAATTTTCAAGATTGAAATATTTTTATTAGCGAGCTGTGTGCAGATTATTATTCCTCACAAAGAAGACTCGTTTTGTTTCAAGTCAATCTTTTGTGCAGAACCTGTTAGACAGTTCTGTAGATAATACCACGCACACGACCCCTGCCAGGCCGTGCTGCAGGACAACATATTTGATTATTTTCTGTCTTTCTACGAATGTTTTTCCACTCCGACGTGGAATGACTGCTGTGGTTTACTGTGGAAGAAGAAGAGCTGCCCAGTTGCACGGAGCCGTCCTCAAATGTTTCACTTCCATTTTCTTCGTGACATTTTGTTGGCATTTTGGGAGAAGTGCAAACCTGTGTGCTCTTTCACAGCCGAGCAGATGGCATCTAGTCAGTATAAAGCTTGGATTAAAGGATCTCATTGAAGCTCCACTCATCCCTCCCGAAGAGGAAGCACAGATAAAAAAAACGCCCGTGTCGCTTTCAAACAGGAGGAACCATTTTGCAGTTCTTACTGGAGGTAGTTCCTCTTCTTTTATGTTCTTACGCAGCCGGAGCTGTGGCTGGTTGTGATTTGTTCAACCGCTTTTATTGGGTTTCTATTAGTTCCTGCTGCAAACTAGATTTCTCTTTTACAAACGCTGATGTAATTGTTAGTGAAAGTCTCTTATTTACAAACACTTTAGTGCCATAAACACGTTTCAGAAGCTTCTTGTCCTAAAAAAAAGAAAAAAGATTTGCATATAAAAACATTTTAGTCACAATAGTCTCAGGTGAATGGGTGAATGATGTGCACATTAAAGGGATGGAAATGGGGTTCTGTTGAAAGGGCATTATCAGTTAATATCTTACCTGTAGCAGGTAACTTTTTGAACACTGTTAATTTGGAGAAATTGAGCTTAATTGGAGAAACAGTTAAAAAAATAAGGTGTAAATGCTGAGCTCTGAATGAATTTGTTTCATTTTGCTGAAGAAGCGGAAAGTAGATTGAAGGCTAAATGTAGCAAAACATTAGCTAAAAGTAAGCTTTATGTATTAAAAGCACTGTGTAAAAGCTAAAAGAAGCTAAAATCTAGATGAAAATGTTAAAATATTGGCAAAACCTAAAAGATGAAAATTCCTAAATAAAAAGCAAAATGCTAGCAAAAAGCCCAAACTAATAAAATGCTAGCCGAAAATAGCAAAATTACAAAACTTAAACGTAGCAAATTGCTTAACAACAAGAAAAACGCTAGCTAAAAAAATTAGAAATACGCTGGCTTCAAGCTAATAAAAGCAGAAATCTAACTATAAGTGGTAAAACGTCAAAACTTAAACTGGCAAATTGCTAACTAAAAAAATTAAAATGCTAGCTAAAGACTGAAAGTTGAAATAGCTTGCCAAATACTAAAAGTAACAAAAAGTTGGCTAAAAGTTTAAAGCAGCAAGTTAGCTAAAGGGAAATTGTTTGCTAAATTTAGTAGAAAGTTTGTTTTAACCAAAACTTACATTAACAGAGTTAACATTAGGAGTGTTAGCATTATTAATAGTGGAATTAGCATTAGCTTTAATAGGAATAGCATTAGCAGTAGTAGTCTTAGCATTAGTAATAGAAGAATTAGTATAAGTAGTATTAGCATTAGAAATAGTATATTTTAAGGCAGGTTAAACTGTTTATCAGCCTTTAAGCTTGGTTTTGTATTTTGTTTTAGTTTTCCGAGCCTATGTTAGGTCAGTAAATGCAACGCAGCCATCTGGACAATATAGATCGTGAGACATTTCGGTTAAGTGCCAGTTGTATGATTTCGGTTCTCATGGCTCACTGCATGGACATTGCTAAACGCTGTCTGCGCCGGAGTTAGAGACTGAAACTACCCAGTGTTGGAGTCAGAACAACTCAGCTGCCATTGTAACTTACCTGTTACCTGAGGAAGTAACGTTTATGAACGAGATCCTTTTCTTTGTCGTGTATTTTCACGTACCTGCAAACCTCCATCGCCGCACCGGAAGCAAAAGCACAGCAGTATTAGCAGTAGTATCATTAAAAGTAGTAGCATTAGCAGTAGTAGCATTAGAAGTATTATTAATAGCCATTGTATCATTAAAGTAATAGTTTTAGAACTACTGTAGTCCCTCACTTATCGTGGGGGTTATGCTCCAGACACACCACAGTAGGTGAAAATCTGCGAAGAAGGGACATTATATTTATTTTAGTATTTATATATATATATTAAGGCTTTATTATCCCTTCCCACACTATTGCAATGTTCCTAACAATGTTCTAAACTCTCTAAATGCTCTAAAAGAGCACAGCAAAAGAGAGCAGACAGACTGATGCTACGGTTACTGAGCCAATCCCGGGGGCAGACTGGCCATCAGGAGCACCAAGACATTTCCCGGTGGCCTGGCCCACTCAATGACCACTGAGGGGGATTAAAGGCTCAGTTCTGGTCGTGCTTTCTTTTTCCGAGGCTGCATAACAGCCTCGAAAAAAGAAAGGAGGGGATGGGGAGGGGGAGGGTGTCTATCTACCTGAGTGAGCCGCACGAGCGGCATGGATTGTTTATTCAAAATAATCAAGTGTGACCCAAACCGAGCCTTTAGTCCCCCTCGGTGATCACTGAGTGGGCCAGGTCACCGGGAAATGTCCCTGTGCTCCCGATGGCCAGTCAGCCACTCAGCACAATGCTCTGGTTGGTCATTTTACATCAGTCAGCCATCGAGTGTTGTGTACAATCTTCTGTTGAAAACCCGCGAAAGAGTGAGTCCGCGAAAGTCGAACCTCGAAGTATCGATGGACTACTGTATTAGTTTTTGAAGTAGTGGTATTAGCAGTAATAGCATTAGCAATAGTAGCATTACAAGTAGTAAGCAGTAATAATATTTAAAATGGCTTGAAAAAATATAAAAGTTACAAAATCGACAAGTCAGAACACCCCGTCAAAACAAGCTGAACATCTTCATATGTGATCAGTAAAATAGCACAATGTAAAAATTCAAAAAGCGTTAGACGCCAAATAAAATGTACGGAGGACGAAACTCCAGGAAAACAATGCGGGGCCAAGACTAAAGTGATCGCCACTGTCTTAACATGGCTTCAACCTTTGCAAAAATTATCACGATTCCTGCAAAGGCTATTTAACAAACATTTATTTCATTGTAAATCTCACATTACACAATTATTCAAAAAGATAAAAAAAGATATTCCTGCTAGGAGTGCTAACGGTTGCTGCTTATGTCTCTATATTTACTTGCAAGTAATCATATATTTCTACATAAATATTTGCGCAAAATTAACTCTACAAGAATTAAACTATATTTCTACAAACTGAGGTGACCTTAACGGCTTTAAGTGACGTCTGACTGACCGTCAAAGTTACTTATCTGCAGTTGGAACGAGAGAAAAAGATCGGACAGAGGTCTGTTTTCCAGCTATTATTATTTCTTCATGGAGTCTTTCTTCCTTCTTCTTTTCCTTTCGACAGATGTATCCAGAGCTCCAGATCACAAACGTGGTGGAAGCCGACCATCCAATCCGCATTGAGAACTGGTGCAAGAAGGAGAGGAAGGTGTGCAAAGGGCACGCTCACATTGTGGTGCCTTACAAATGCTTAGGTAAGCTTTTATAAGAGTTATGAGTCTGAAGAAACCACTTAGAGGATCTCAAATCAGCGCTTCTCCTTCTCCCCTCTTCTCCCTGATTTAGCCTTTTCTTCGGTGCAGCGAGACAAGAGTTTATGAGTCATCTTAGCCTTTGGCAGAGGTGACACGGAGTGATATTGGAATTCGATTCACTTGACTAATTCTGGCCTTTAGCCGCAGATTGAGCAGATCCAGACTGGATGGGAGCTAATGTCTCTCAGAACAAATGGCTACCAGGGGAGGAGGAGGAGGATGGGAGGTTTTATTGCTGGGGAGGCTTGTTGAGCAATAAAGCACAATCGTATTTGCCCCCTCGGACAGCGGTCATAAACTCCCCCAGACTCACAGGGTCAACAGCAGAGGAGGTCTGCGAGGTGGCCGGCTTTATTACATCTCATTCCTCAGTTTTCCTCGCACTGTCACAAACGCCTCCCCTCCTCCTCTGTTCCCCTCAGCTCCGCTGTAATCTGCGGTGGCAACATGGCCGCACTGTGCTTCATGAAATGCCACGTTCAGCCTCAGAGTTGGCCTCTGATGCACAGAAACTCGGCTCTGCTCCCTCTGAGGACTGTGAAAACCAGAGGAATGGAGTGGCTGTACGAGTATCGGACCGCTTTGTTTGGCCAAAAGCCTCTTTCTGATCAAGATGTGCCACTTTTTGGGACCAAATTTTAAAACGGCCATTAGCAGTTGCACTGGAGTGTGAAATGGGCGACGCTTTGAGAATGTTTTTTGTTTTTTTTGGCACACACTGAGAAGAGGAGGTTTTGGGGGAGATTAATTGGCGAGCAAACACTGCGCATCGAGTGAGCGAGCCGAGATGGAAAAACAGATGAGAGGCATTCACAGACATAATCGTTTCCCAAAATGTATTTTGTCCCATAAATCCTTTATCTTAAAGCTTAAGTGCCATTGGAAAGTCCTTGGAGCTTTTACGGTCGTCCAGTATGTTCCACACACTGCCAAAGGCAGGAGGCGATAATGTCTCTGTTCGCCTGTGTTAGCGAGGTTGGCTAAAACTGTTATTGAGGTTACCAATTACATTTAGCTAGGTTAAATGATACTGTTAGCGGGGTTAGCTAAGACTGTTAGCAATGTTACTAATTACTGTTAGCTAGG